TTTACAAGCAAGCTGCAAGTGCCACACTATTCATTTTTTAATTTTAGTCCTTTGTCTTAGCCTGTTAATTGCAATTGTTTTAAGTCCATTATCCCAAAGTGCACATTGTTGCTAGCTGGATCCAAATGCTTGTAAGCTTTGTCCTTACTTTTGCAAATACTGACCCTTGAATTGTTAACGTAGCCGATGTCAGTGTGTAACACCAGGCTTGGGTGATTCATGGTTTGATTGATTTATTTTTAATTCTTCTGGCATTCAGTTCAGTGATAATCGGGGTGGGGGGTGGGGTAGGGTGTAACAAAATTATGTAAAACTTCTCCTCAGAAGTATTTTTTTAATAAAAAGAGATACTATGGTAATGCAATCAAAATACTAGCAGAGTATTCTTTAGATGCTCTGTAAAGTGCAACTTTAAGAAAAGCCCTCAAAGGCAGATCCAGTCACTCTCGACTGGGAGCACCTTGTTCTCATTATTGGATATACTCTGAGAAAAGCACAAAACAAGATGAGCCCATGGGGAAAGGCCAATGCTGACAAATTGCCTCATGCTTGACCAGGTTTCTTCCACCGAACTCTCCCCATAGGACTACCTGCTGTGTGTTACACAGTGCTCTGGATGGGATATACTTGCCATATACTCAGGAGCACATCCCAGGACTAGTCTATACGATTAGAATACTCATAATTCCAATTGAATAGAATGTGATCAGGCTATGATTCACAGAAATTTGGGCTTTTTGCACCCCCCAACTCCTTGAATTCTGCAGAAAAAGGCTTCACAATTTTTACAGGAGGATCCACTGAAAATCTGCATTTTTGCATGTATGACTGTCCATCTGTTTCTCATAGGACTTTATCACACAGGGGAGGTCCTGTGCAGAAACAGGATTTAAATAGGAAAAATCCTGCAAAAGCGGGTAGATTTTCACACAATATCGATGTTAAACTGTGCTTAAACCTAACGGAAAGTAGTCAAAATGGAAAATCCTGAAAGTAAAAAGAACCCAAAAACCGTTTGGGTTAAGCACACTTTAACATCAATGTGTGTGAAAATCTACCCGCTTTTGTGGGTTTCCCCCACCTTTTAAATTCTGTTTCTGTATGGGATTTCCCCCATGTGATAAGGTCCATGCATTTAGATTTCAGAGCATTTTTGGCAGAGGGAAGATGAGTAGATGCAAAGAAATATGAAAAACAATTAACCATCAATACAAATGAGCAAAAATATGCACCGATTTGCATTATACACTTAATTGTAGACTAGCCCTCAGTCTGTGGGATTCAGTGGAACTTCAGTGAAGCAGCTGAGAAAAATACTTCTGGTGGCTTTAATCTCGGTTAAGTGTTGTAAAGAAACATTAGTTGTACTTTGATTTGATTGATTTGTGCTTTTTCTGATCAATAACTATTTCTGTGTTTTCTTACTGGCAGGCAAATGAATCTTTCTGGTGTAATTCAATTGCAATGCTTATTTAGACTGTGAATAGACAATAACATTTAGTGAGGGTTGAAGTCACTCACTGTACAAAATCACTTCAAGTATCTATTCAGGTAGCCACTCCACACCTTCATGCCTATTGACTTCCCTTTCCTCCTCATTCTTGCCATTTTGCTCCATGAAGTTGCCCAGAAGCAGAAGTGCTAAAATGCAATGGTGCTCATACGGCATTTCTGGCCTGACTGGAAGCAGGAAGTCCTGTAGCTCAAGAAAGGAAATCAATTCTGGTGAGATTGCTAGTTCAGTTTTGCAGACCCAGGAGGATTGGATTGTCCTAATAAAAGTCTGATAATCCTTTTGCTGAAAGAGGCTGTGAACCTTTTCACTAATTAGTGTAGCTATTAATACAATATTGTGCCATAGAGCTACAGAGCTGGAACTCCAGACTCTAAACAATTATTAAAGTCTGTAATAAAATGGTGCTGTATTCCCCAAATACAGAGTTCTACTGTAGACTTCAGTGGTGAGAGTATGGATCAGCTGAAGCAGCTACTCATCCATTCATACTCTAAGACTTGTCTCAGTCAAAACCATCTTTCTACCTCTGCTCCTCACTGTCTCTTGTACCACAAATAGAAAAGAAGAAAGAAGGTGTGGTCTTGTGCTTCAGTAACATTTTATTCAGTGTTCTTTATTACTTTCTACATTTGTGAGTTGTCCAGTTATCATATTTGGGGTTTCAGGACATGTAATCCTGGGGATTACTGCTTTTTGCACCACGTTCATGATCCATTTGCTATTATAATCAGCCCTCCATATCCACTGATTTTTTTATCCATGGATTCAAACATCCAGAAATTGAAAATATTCCAATATTATATATATATATATATATATATATATATATATATATATATATATTCCAAAAAGCAAACCTTGATTTTGCCATTTTTATATAAGGGACAATATTGTACTATGGCACTGTATATAAATTGGACTTGAGCATCTATGAATTTTGGTATCCACAGTGGGTCCTGTAACCAAACCCAGTGGATACCAAGGGTGCACTGTATTCTTGTTTTGCTGCCCACAGCAATGTGTATTCTGTGAGCTCCTCTGGGAATGCTTCAAGGCTGACTTCAGTGATCCTGCATCCCTTCCAAGATGCAAGCACCAATTGTGACTAGCACCAGTGGCATCACTAGGTTTGGTATCAACCGGTGTGGTAATTCATGGCATTAACCCACCCCCATTGACCTCTTCCCATCCCACACCATACAGAATCCTTAGTAATGTTTTTGTACTAATGTTACTCATACATTGTAATTTCCATATATCACTGAATCTAATGATAAAAGTTGTGATATAAAACAACTAGTAACATTAAAATTAAACCTTTAAATTACAATATCATATTCGCAGCTTAAATATTTTTCCCATCCTTTCAAAAAGTGCTGGAGAAATACAGACCAAGTACAGGATGCCAAGACAGGTATGGGATGCCTCTGGGCTGGACATGGAAGTGTGCAATAATATCCATTTTTAAATGTTTTTTTTAAAATGTTTCAGCCTGCACTGAGGCTGGGAGGAAAGGCAGTGAGATAATCTTCTGAGTTTGACTTCCAGGAAATATCAGGATAGTTGAAATCACTCATCATTACTACATCTCTCCTTTCTGGGTGTGTGGTCATTTGTTCTACAAAGGCATCATCAAGTCCTCAATTTGGCCTACCCCTCACATACCAAATCATTATTGTTTCTCTCTCCCTTAAGTTTTGCCCAAATGCTCTCAACTTGATTTCCAAGATTGAAGTCATTGATCTCTTCACAGATATTCGCATTCTTAATGTATAATGCTACTCCACCGCCTTTCCTATTCGGCTTATTTCTATGAAATGGTTTATACCCCCCTATTACTATGTCCCAATCATGAGACTCAATCCACCAGGTTTCAGTTATGCCTATTATATCGCATTTGCTTTGCTGTGCTAGGAGATCAAGGGCCTCTGCAGACCGGCCCAAAGGGCCAGCCTGGAGGTAGAGTTGGGGCAGGGCAGCTGCACGCCAGCTACCCCAACCTCATGCTGAAGCCATCCTGACGCCACACGCTGTGCAGTCCAGAGGCATCCCATACCTATCTTGGCATCCTGACATGCTGCGCCAAAAAGGGCGAGGAAGAGCCGCATGCTGCCCCTGAAAGGAGTGGCATTTTGCTGCTCTTTTTGAGGCAGCAAAAGGGAGGATCAGGGCCATGGTATGGGGTTGCTGTGGCCCCGATCCGCTGCTTCCTGGGGTGGCCCAGAGTTGCCCATTTGCAGTCCCCCAAAAGTTATTTTTTGTGGGTTTTTTGGGCTGTGTGGCCATGTTCTAGAAGAGTTTGGCCACACGGGACCACACAGCCCAAAAAAACCCACAAAAAACTATGGATGCCGGCCATGAAAGCCTACGACTTCACGTTAATCTTTTTTATTTACCATGCTCATTAGTGTAGAGACATCAAAGATCATGGACCATCCCCCCAAGATGCCTATGTGAATTTATTTCCCTCCCATTGTTGGGTCTTGCACTATTTGCCTTGTTCTCTCAATAACCGTTTGGCAATTATCTCCAGCCCTTGATGAACTCCTACCCTCCAGACTATTGTCAATTTTTGAGACTGTTGGAAAAAAACATTTCTGCCAACTGGTGTGAGGTGCAACCCGTCTCTTACCAGAAGTCCCCCCTCTTGAAACTGCAGGTCATGGTTCAAGAATCAAAATAGTTCTTGGTGGCACCATCTGTGAAACCAGTTGTTCACCTCTGCTGTTTTCTTCTCCCTTCCTTAACTGTGCTGTTCAGGTGGGAAAAGAGATGAGATGACAACCTGTACATCCAGATGTGGCTTTCTCTGCTCTTTCTTGGTCCTACTTGTATTCCACTGAACATAAACTTATCACAAAACACCTGCTGTTCTCTTTCCTCTTGGATAAAAACAGTACCTTAGGAAATAAATTTGGAGTGTGTGTAAAAAAGCTTTTGCTTGTGCCAAAGTTTAATAAAGAGGACTTCACAGGGATTTCACAGAATCTTAACAGCACTGTATTCTCTAAGACATTTATGTACTGGTACACCTGCCATATATTAGAAATTAGAAGCTGATTAAAGCCCATTTCCACCCCCATCCTGCATTCTTTATTCAAATATGTGTGTGAATAATTCATACATTTTGCTATAACTACGTTATTCATAAAAAGAGAATTATGCTTTTCCCATCCAAGTTAAGAGGAAGGGCCGCAGTTCAGTTCTAATGGCTGTAGCTCTGTGACGGAACATTTGCTCTGTATGCAAAACATTCCAGGTGTATGTATGCACACACACACACACACACACACAAATAGAGCCTTCCTTTCAGTTTGCAAGTCAAGGGGACTTTGTTCTGTGCATTCAAGTTGTTTCTGACTTATGTCAACCCTAAGAGGTTTTCACAGGGTTTTCTTAGCAAGGTTTAGTCAGAGATGTGTTTGCTTTGCCTCTCTCTGAGGCTGAGAGAGTGTGACTTGCTTGATCACCCATTGGGCATTCATGGCCAAGTGGGGATTTGAACCCTGGTCTCTAGAGTCATAGTGCAATGCTCAAACCACTACACTATTCTGGCCCTTTACAACAGTTAAAATAAGCATAGTTAAAAATTAACAGTATACAAAAGTTAAAAAGCAATTAAACCATCATAAATTAAGACCAGTTAAAACAAATTAAAAGCAACAACAACAAATAAAAGTCCAGCATATTATACAATCCCTGTTCCTCCTGAAGCCTCATTTCTCAAAGGCCCGTAGAAATAAAAAGAGTCACAGAAAGATACTAAGGAGGCTTTCAGTCTAGCTTCTTTGAGGATATTTCAGAGCCTGAGAGCAGCCATTGAGAAGGCTGTCTCCAGTGTTCCCACCAAATGTACTTGCAAGGGTGGTGGGATAGACAGCAGGGCTTTCTCAGGAGATCTCAAAACAGACTAGTTCATATGGGAGAGTACCATCCTTGAGATAGGTTGAAACTCTACCACATCCAGTCTCCAGGGTGAGAAGGAATCCTGTGTGAGACCCTGGAAAGATAGTGCTACCCAGGTGAAACACTATTGAGCTAGGTGGGCCAGTGGCCTGACTTCATTACAAGACCATGGTTGGTGGCATTGTGGTGATGAAGGTATCCAAGAACTATCCAAGGTGCTGAATCAACCACAGCAGATTCAACATACTACTGAAAATATGGAAGCCATCATCTGCCATGAGCAAATTTAAACAGGCCAGGAAGGCAACATAGGACCGTAACATGCATATTGAAGGGGAGTTGTGTAGAGTGGAGACTAGCAAATTGTGAGTGGCAGCATTTTAAAAAGAGAAGATGAAAACCCTCCTCTTGGTCTTCGAAGTGAGGAGTATTGGAGGAGCAAAGATTCTTGCAGTTTATGCTCATTTCCCTGTGGGCAGACTCCACTAAACCTGACAGGACTCAGGGTGCAACTATATGCTGTGGTAAAAGGATAGCCAAAGATGCTGTTGAGTTACCTCTCCTCTTTATAAAAAAACTCTCAGGGGAAATAGTTTTTTGGGGGAAACTAGGGGAGGTTTTAACCTCTGCTAGCCATATGCAGCATGATTTGATACAGATCAAACCCACTTCGGCAGGGGTAGGCAACCTTTCCCCTTTAAGGGCCGAGGGACTTCAGCTCCCAGAATCCTAGGAGCTATTGGCCAACATGGGACTATTGGCCACCATGGCTGAGGCTTCTGGGAGCTGAAGTTCCTCGGCCCTTAAAGGGGAAAGATTGCCTACCCCTGAACTTCGGTTTACATGTGGGAAGAAATGAAAATAGCTTTCAGTCGCATACTACACATGTAATGAAGTGTAGAGATAAAACCATCCTTCCACATGAACATATATAATATCAGGCTGTTCGCATACAAAATGTGCTTTAAAAAAGTCTATTAATCATAGCAAGAGTGTACAGCTTTTAGAACAGAGAAAAATGATATTTCAGTCTGAATTTTCTATAGAATCTAGTTAGGATTAACTAGTTAAGTTTACATAAAGCAATTGGCAGGTAGGAATAAGCAGAAAGACTGAGAGAAGGGGTGGGGGGTGGGGAAAGACTTTGTTAAACATTGCACTGAAGTTGGCCTCTGCACTCCATAAAAGCTCATTATGAAAAGATTATGAACATATAACAATATGTTTTAAGTGGGTGGCAATGATCCATAAAATTGGTGTGGCTAATTGGCAGATCAAATCTTTATGAGAAACTGGATCACTTACATATCCTTGAGTAGTTTAATTTTGGAGGTATTTTACTCTCTGCTCATGTTTAGCATTAAAAAACACACAACAGAATAAATGCTTCATGGGATTAAAACAACACTCAAATGAAACCAAACGAAATTGGGTTGATTTTGCTAATAGAGGAACAGAGAATCTGAGTGTTGATATAACATCATGCAAAATCTAGAGCAAACACAGTCTGAATCCCACTCTCATTTCATATGTAATTAACCTTTCTCAATCAAGCTCAACACCCTTCACTCCTCCTCCTCCTCCTCTTGCTCCTTAACAGCTCAGTAGCCACATTTCCTTAGTTCTATATGGATAAAAGATATCCCTCCATTCACAGGAGTAGTTTTGTATCAAGTGTTGCTAGTGTCTGGTCAAATCAGTATTCTTTCTCTTATTTCAGTTTATTAATTTTTGTCTGATCATATCTCAGTGCTTCTATTTAGAGATTCACCATTTGTTTGTGCTTCCACTCCTCTTAATCATAGGCTTTGGGTTTTTAATGTGTTTAAAGGATACAGACACCATGCAATTGTACAAAACATTTATATGTTAGATATGGTGTGCCACAAGATGTGTCTTCAAAACTTTACCTTCAGAAAGACTCATAAAGGGAAAGTATCATGGGCTTAGGCTTGTGAAAAGGCTCCATTTGTGTATATGTTGTGTCTTCAAGTCATTTCCAACCTATGGTGACCCTATCATGGGGCTTTCTTGCCAAGTTTTGTTCAGAGGTCATTTACCATTGCCATCCTCTGAGGCTGAAACCCATAAGCGTATCACATGGCACTTACAAGAACAGGAAGGGAACGGAAGGGAAGGAAATGGAATGGAGCAAAAACACATTTTACTGCACAGGAGAATGCCACCGATGTCGCCGAGAGTCCCCAAGGCGTTCCCCAGCCATTCCTGGCAGCCAATTTTTGAAGGACAATTCAAAATGTAATTAAGGAATGATTTCACCTGATCTTCAGGGTAAGATCTAAAAATATATTATGTGTGAATCCACTAGATTCCCAAGATACATGTGCAGTGTTCATAATTAATCAAAGGGGAAACTTTTTATTATATGTAGTGGACTTGTGAAAGAGCTAAAAACTTCTGGACTCAGATTCATAAACTGTTGGAATATATTTTGAAAAATAAACTTCAATTGGATCCTAAATTATTTTTATTAGGTATTTTAGATGAACTTTTGGAGAAGACCTATGGAAAAATAGGTAGAGAGATCTTGTAGCACTTTTGAGACTAACTGAAAGAAAGAAATTGGCAGCATGAGTTTTCGTACATTTCAGTCTACTTTTTCAGATGCATCTCAGACTGAAGTCTATGAAAGCTCATGCTGCCAATTTCTTTCTTTCAGTTAGTCTCATAGGTGCTACAAGATCTCTCTACATACTGATTCTACAGACTAATATGGCTATATCTTTGAATTCTACCACTATGGAAAAATACTACAGTATATGACAACTGTGGCTAGAATTATGTACACACAAAGATGGGAAGAATCAACAATCCCTTTGCAAAAAGATTTGTTCTTGAAATTATATTACTTTAGTGAGAATGGATAAACTGGCTATCTTACTACATGAAAAAACTTTTGATTAATTTAAAAAAAGAGTGGAAGATGCTGATTGAATAAATGGAAAATAAAGGGATTCTGTTATAGTTTTAGGTTTTTAGAAGATTGTTAGACAAAGTATGAGATTTGATTAAAATGTTTTACATTCTTCTTAGGTCCTTGGTAAGAACTTTTATTTGTAGTATGATATATTTAAAGATTTTTTTAAAAAAAGATTATTATATTAACCTTTCAATAAACTATACTGATAAACCATGCTGGAAGCCTTTGTTTTGCTGTATTTTTCTTTTCTTTTATTTTTGCTTTTTGTTTGTTTGGTTTGTTGTTGGATTTGTTTTTTAGATATGGAAAAATTGTGTGATCTGTTTGCATGTTTTTTTTATTTAATAAAATGCTATACAAGGAAAGAGTTTAGGAAAGTTACTTTCTTGGATGACAATTCCCAGGATGTTCAGCTAGCAGCAGTCTATGTGTAATTTTTCATGCTCTGCAACTAATATTTTAAGGCGGGGTAGGCAAGCTAAGGCCCAGGGGCTGGATGCGGCCCTCCAAGGCCTTTGGACCGGCCCCAGGCCGGTCCTACCACCGCTGCCGCTGCCGGCATAATGATATTGATTATTGTTGTTATTACTTGTTCTTGGGGTGTTTTTTTTGGCAAAATCTCCACAGGGGTTTTGCCATGGCTTTTCTGGGGCTGAAAGAGTGTGCATGCATATTTTTTTTATTTTTTTTTTATTTTTTAAAAGTTTTTTTATTATTTATTTATTTATTTATTTATTTATTTATGGTGCTTTGGCCCCCCAATTGTCTGAGGGACAGCAACCCGGCTCCCAGCGCAAAAAGGTTGCCTACCCCTGTTTTAAGGCATTGACATGCGATGGGCTGGAATAATTGCATAGTTCTGCATACATCTCTCCCTTTTTTATTTTTTATTTTTATTAGTTATAGAAAGAAGCAACAGAAACAAATCAACAATTCAGCAATATGTAGATGCTTGAAAGAAGAGAGAAGAGATATATGGTAGGTAGTTAACAATTATCACAGTGATCAATGTCTCAAGTGGCAACTTGGTTGTTTCAGTTGATGAGGATTGCTGTTAACATAGGACCTTTGCAGACTGCCAGAAACAGTGCAAATTGAGTCCACTTTAACTGCCCTGACTCAGTGCTAGGAAATCATGGGAACTGTAGTTTATTGTGGCACCAGAGTTCTCTGACAGAAAAGGCTCAATGTCTCAGAAAAAAATACAATTCCCATGATTCCCTAGCACTGAGCCAGGGCAGTTAAAGTGGACTCAATTTGCACTATTTCTAGCAGTCTGCAAAGACCCATAGTCAATAAAGGGAAACCATTTTTCTATAAAAGATTTTTGTTCCATTTGTCCTTTTGTGAATCTTGAGAGGTTAGACAATTTCTCCATTAAGAATTTCTCCATCCCACACCCGGCACCACAAGATTTCTATTCTAATCACTACAAGTTTTTTTATTGAGAGATCTCCTGTTCTTCAGTTTTTTGCAACTTTCAATCTGGTAGCTGCTACAGAACAATTGGATTTTTGTTAGGAATACAGAAAGTTGGGATCCCTTACAGTATTTAATATCAATTTAATATTTTGTATTGTAATATCTGAAATTATTGCAGGTATAACCAGCCAAAATTTATTCTTATACTTTCTACCCTCATGTGTAAATAAGTTCCCTTAGAGCCACATCCTCACTATCACATTGTGCTTGTATTCCTTGTGATCCTTG